CTGTAACAAATCATGAAACCAGAGATGCAAACAGACTTGGTGATATGTATTAATGTGGGTTTTAGTCCTGAGCTGGGAGAATTTATTCACACTAGTTTGGGAAATGTTTTTGCACAAACTGGGGCAGCAGGAATGAATCCCTTATACCTTAGAAATTTTAACAGTTTCATACACATGAATGATTTGGTGTCTGGAAATACTATTTCTAAAGGGAGTTTTAAAAAAATGTATCAGATGGGAAATCTCCATGACTGATGTTGCTAGATGGAATTGAGGCTCTTTAAAGGACTTCAGGAAATCTCAGAGAAATGACTGAGAAGGTTTCTTTTATGCTATGCACTTTTTTTTTTTTTTTTTTAATGAAAACAGTATTAGAGTTGATTTGTGCTAGAAACTGGTGCATAATGTTTACTTCTTCACACATGTGAATGTCTGTCTTCCCACGTTTTCATTTTTTAGTTTACATTTTTTATATACATTTTTTTTTTTAGATTAGTACAAATTGGAAAAGATTTTGTTTTGCATGTTGTCATATTTTGGAAAATAAACTTTGGATCAAGGGAAATGCCAGGCATGAGAACCATGGCATAGCAAAAGACAGAGATAAAAGGCACGAACAATATTATATAGTAACATTTTCACAGAACTTTGGACTAAAAGCAATGCTTTCCAAAACAACCACTGCAGTTTTTTATATATAAATATTTGCACATATTAATAATATACCATATGGTGGGCTTAGCATTATGAATGTAACACATCAGCCTACCAGATACAGTATTCTCTCTGGAGCAGAGTATTTCCTTGGAATATCCTGCTCTTTTTGAGACTTCAGTTTTAACTTTTTCTATAACTTGATCTCAAAATGATGACCAGCTTGAAATCTATATAACTTGAAGGCTTTATCAGTAAAGCCCAGCAGAGTTATATTTCTCTGTGGCTATGATGTTGAAACCTAGTGAAAAATCAATTTTTCCTTTTGCTGAATGGTATATTTGAAGCATTTAAAAAAGGTGAATGAGTGTGCTGAGGGCCTGTCATTCCCGAAGTACTTTCTTATGCAGCATGTGTAGGTACATCTGCCAGTTAGCCCTGAGAGGCTGCATGTGTTTGATGCATTGGATGTTGTGTCAGCAGGAAGGAGAAAAAGAAGAGATGAGATATATCAGAAAGAAAGTTGATAGCAAATGGTGATTTGAACAGCCCATATCCTCTAGTGTAATATATTATGGAAATAATGATTCTGACAAGCAATGCTTCTTTGTAACCCAAAGTGATACAGCAGGGATTGTACATGCTCAAATCGTCCAGGACAGGGTACTTACTTGTCTAGAAATGCTGTGAGAAGTGTCTTCGTTGCAAAACATCAACAGAGATGAAACTTGTAAGAACCAGATTACTGAAGAAGAAGAAAAAGTTTGATTTATTATTCTTACTGTTTTATCTTGCAATGGCACAAAACGTGGTATTTCTTGTTCGCATCTGTTTTTGCCTGTGTATCATTTATTCTGATTTGGTACCATATTTTAGCTTGTATTTATGGATGGTTTGTCACTTTAACTCTGATTTTCCAGCTCACTCAAACATAGCTGTGACAAAATCATAAATCGGTTGTTAATTAATTAACATGGGAAGGCAATGGCAAGTGGCCTGTAGTTTTAAGAAGAGTCAAAGCCAAAGCAAATAAACACATCAATACAAAACAGGCTATAAAAAACATACTGCAGTGAGTATACAGAGATAGTGATTATGCTGAAATAAAGAACAAAATGTTCCAGAGATGTGCACTCTCTGTGAGCATAGATCAAGAAATACACCCAAAAAGGCAAGATTACAATAGTTTTTGTACTTAGCCTCTAGCATCAATATGATTGCTCTCATTTACGGTGATTTCTTTAAAGTAACTGTTATGTACCTTGCCAGGGGAGGACACTGGCCTCAGCCCATTTGATGATTCTCTTTTTCCCCTAACATATGTCAGGGCTCAAAGTGTGAGATAAAATAAGGCCAGGTAACTTACTGCATTTGAGGAGTATCATCCAAAATGGGGCTTATGTGCAGCACCATTCTCTTCAGAGCCTTAAAGGCTGATCCAGTCTCAAGATCAGAATTATCTACACATACAGTCTGCATCGTTGTGTTCGCTTCTGTCTCGTATGGGTTATTCTACCTCTGAAATACAGCACAGCCTTTTTAACTAAGTCTTTTTTTTTATATGATTATTCTTGAAAGAAAGCAAGAATGTTAACTTACAATAATTACAATTCACTTATTCAAGACAGCTTTTCATACTACCTTGCAATATTGAAAAGTCACTGAGGTTTTCTTTCTTTGAATTTGCTGAAGGAATGGAATTTGCCTTTTTGCAGTATGCTTAGTGCAGATGTTCAATGGGAATGGTATGGAAAATGTCACTTCCCCTGCTAACATCTTCCCCCCTCTCTGTTCCTCTTTCTCTGCATTCCCATTCCTTCCCCACATAAGCAAAGCTAACTGTTTGCAAGGCAAGTTCATTTTGCTTCACTGCTTAAAAGAAAAATCAATTTTATGACCAACAGAATGAAAAAAATTTGGTATGCTCAAACAAAATGCAATGAATATTGAGAACAATTTCCAGTGACCTAACATATATATATATATATATCAAGTAAGTCTAAACATTAACAATTTTGAACATATAAAAAACTAAAATTAACAGTTTGAAAATATTTATCTGGTGAATACAGAACATGATGCATGAAACATAATGACCTCTCTGAAATTCAACCAGGATGCTAGGCTACACATTTAGACAAAGACAACTAGTTAATCATAGCTAAGAACATTAACATTAGACAGAATAAATTGGTTTGCCGCATTCCAGACTCTTAGCTACAAAAAAGAATATATTCCACTAATTAAAGAGTAGAAATACTCAAAGCATGAGAATGCAAGAGAGAAAGAGAGATCCTGATTTAAGCTACTTTATCTACTCGTGATGTTTGCATGATACAGCGTTATGATTTTAACAGTTATGTGGTCCCCATTAGGGGCTCTCTACTCTTATTACATTGAATATATGACATAATAGTTCATAATTAATATTATTGTGCATGGTTTGTATTTTTAATTTCCATAGCTTCTTGGAGCATCTGATGAAACATAAATTATACATCTAAAAATATACAGACTATATATATATAATTATAAAAAAGAGACAGAGCAGGAAATTCAGAATTAAAATACGATGTTAACAGTCACTTTTTAAAGTGTCTTACAGGATTTTTATTCTAGTTGTGCTGTATATATCTTTCATTTTTCATTATGTTTTTATCCTTGATTCTATATACTGTTCACTCCAGATGCTTTATTTTGTAATTTTTTTAAGTTAAATTGAGAGCAGTGGGCATACGTATACGAATATTAGAATAGTAATTATTCCAATTAGACTTTGAGGTGAATGGTTAAAGAGAAGGCCAAGTTCTGCTACTTGTTGCAGCAAAGTATCCTTGTTCTGCAAAGGAATCTGTATTGGTAGACCTCTAGTTTTAATGAACTGGATTTATTCAGTGGGATAAAAAGTCTTTTTTATCTGAAGATTTTACATCATTTTACATAATGAAAGCTTTATATACAATTCTGAAATAAGGCTTTTTTTTTTTTTTTCCCTAGAGAAAGATTTAATTTTTTTAATGTTTGTTTAAAGATATGGATTATGTACTGAAAAGAGACATAAGTAAATTTATATCTATTGGTTATTTTCTTTCCTGTCTATGGATTATATATAGATCTATGTGATTCATGTCTATGGGCTTGCTCTCTAAATAGATAAATACAGATTTTCCTTTAATTGGAGGGGAATGAGAATTAAACCCTCTGTTTGTATCTTTTGCATCAGCACCCTTGAAATTAACTGCATTATTTCCACTGAATTGAATATGAACAGGACTTAAGTCCTACTTGGTTCCAGTTCCATAGCTCTCTTTAAAAGAGCTGGAGTCTTGTAGAACTTCTGTGCTGCGTATACATACTGTGTATACGTGCAGTGCATACATTTGAAGAAAGATGTGATGTTGGGATTCCTTTGGAAGAACTTATCAGCAAAAAATCTTCTATCTTTCCTTTTCATCAGCTGTAAGATAGCTTGGTCAAGAAAGATACTTTTTCACTAATATTTTATTACATTATTTATTAACTTTTTTGAAATGAAAGTCAGTGGCTCTATAATTTGTGTGTATATATATATATATATATAAATACTTATTTATTTCAAAAATCACCTGTTTGTGGGTGACATATATTAGCAAACTCTGCGTGTGTATATGTTTGCCTGAATGCATGGATGTGTGCATCTGTATAGGCTGAATGGAGTAGGACAGTCACCCTTTTATTTCTTAAAAACTGCCCAGACTTTCTCAGACTTTCAAAAAATAACAAAGCCAAATACAGAATTTTGGCTGTAAAGAAGGAGTGTATTAGAAAGATTTGAATGAGTGAAAGGAAGGTTTTTAGCCTCTAACAATGTTGTTTTCACTACCAAGGCATGCTATAATGTGTCAATGGGTTATTTTTAAGCAGAATTGCAAGCAACTATATGAAATCAAACTAAGATGTGATTTTGTTTCATACACCTTAGTTATTTTTACAAGCATTTCAGAAACAGAGTCAATAAATATTTAGATTTGCAATTTAACACAAAATTAATCTAAAAATCTACTTTCCTTGCTTAATTAGAATTCATTTGCTTAATTGCCATTCCTATCCCATAAATCCCAGTTTTTCACTAACTTGAACAAAGCCACTTTTTGCTATTTGCACTGTAATTTGATTTCTATTATAGTTTATGAACAGAAATAGGGCCCTGCTTGAATATTCATTAGCTGTTGAATTGTGAGCTTTGAAAAGGTGCTTTCGTGTACCTGAATGAAAGTGGCTCAGCGTGGGGTGGATCTGTAATGACATTTGATTTTAGGGATCCAATGAATTTGCTTATTATTTATTGACACATCTTGTCCAAACAGCTCCCTCGCAAGTTAGTGGAGTAATGAAAGAGAGAGTACTTCAGAGGAGCGTGGAGCTTTCCTGGCAGGAACCAGAACATCCCAATGGAGTCATTACTGAATATGAAATCAAGTATTATGAGAAAGTAAGTGCTAAGATTATCTGTAATGTACAACAATGTGCTCTTTGCTCACTAAATTGTGGAACAATATTACAGCCATAACAGTACTGTCATCTATCCTGCCTGCTGTGATCTCTTCAAAGCCACAGTGATTTTGCTTATCATCTACTAGGTATTTCTTGCAATTATTATGGTTATCATATGTCTCATGTATTGTAATTTGGTATGCAGGTGGTGAAATATCCACTAGAAAACCATTTTTATTTTCTCTTTATTTTTTTTATAATTAAATTGGACAGTGGAAATACTAACATGAGACATCATTTTTCTGTCCCTTCCACATTGATTTTAATGCTTTTTCCATTTCCTCCTGTGTCAGTATAACTCCAATCTTGAGATGAGACATCAAATATAGCTCTTGACCATGTTTGGTATTTCCTTACAGTTTAGACAGCTTTGACTTATATCTGAAAACTTCCAAAACACTTCCTACAATTTCAGCTGATAAATATTCCTTGTTTTCCCTCTGAAAAACTCCTATCAGTGTGAGATTTATTTTTCACTTGTTCTCTCAACACAATAATGCATTGAGGGACGCTTCTCAATAGTAGATGAAGTGATCTCTATTTTTGGTAGAGTGAAATTGCAATCTTATTGATGTCACTCGGAGTTTTGCTATTCATTTCAGCATGTCTGGGGCTTCATTCTTGATAACTTTGAAGTATTCCATAATAAAAAAAAAAAAATCCGACAGGCATATAAGTAAGGCCACATGCTACCATAAGCTGAGTGGAAGAGGTTTTGCAGCTATGTGTTTGTCTTGGGACCTGGAATAAGTGTTGCTGCTGCACATTGCCTGAGAAATTTGCTGCTGCATGTAAAATATTCCCATTTTTTATGAAATAGTCTGAGATAAAAAGAAGGAAAAAATGAACAAAAATATAAAGAAATGAATATAGTCACTCCTTTGTGTTCTCTTGTGAAAACATTTTATTTATGAAAACAAAGTAATAATATCTCTATATCAAAAAATAGCCAAAAAAGAGTAAAGAGTATGTCACCTACTAGGTAACTTAGAGTTAGGTAAATTTAGACCAGACTGGATCTAACGCATCTAATTTTCAGTGCTGAATTACTGTATATATATATATGTTTGTCAAAAGATCTTTATATGATTTGGAAAGGGAATAAAATACTTATTTGTTGATGATGTATCCCAATTTTAAATTACTCAATTTAATGATTCCTGTGACAAAACTTAGTAAATATGTAAAGATATCCACAAATCTTTTTAAAGGACTTCTATTTTTGTCAAATAATTTATCTCCCTTCAATATGTGCACACATACATACATAACTGAAATCCAAGCATTAAAAACAAGTTTACGTTTTTACCAAAGGCAAAACTGTTCTCTTGGCTATATATATATATATGTGTGTGTGTGTGTGTATTTTCATTTCTATATGCATAATACTTTCTTGTCTGTTAAAATAAAATAAAACATTTAAATAGCTGGAGGAAAATAGCATACCAAATGCACTTTTCATATAGGCTAACTTTTAGAATGTAGTTTTTATTATTTTTGTCTGTATGTTTGTGTTACTTTAAATAAATGGCACAATATCCTTGCCAATTTCCTGTGTTTACAAAGCAAAAAAGCTGGCATTACTCGTCTTTTGTAAGGGAAGCAAACCTACCAATATTATACTTACTACAGTCAAATTAATAGAATTGGATAAGGTCCTCCTTATAGAAATAAACACTAGCAGATAAACAGAACTTTATACCTTTATTTGAGTATCTTTTAATACAAATACTTAAATGTCTGACTTCCTTCCAAAATAATGTATTTTAGCTTGAATAATACTTAAGTTTCTTGCTCAGGATTGCAGTTCAGGCTGAGAAAAGCAGTTAATATTTTGTTCCCGTAGTTCAAACGAACAAACAAAGAAACAAACAAAAAGACTTGAACTCACTTTTAGAGCCAAAATCAAATCAAATGTTTTTGTGGTTCCAAAATATTCTGATAAGTGTTTCTTTGCTTCTCTTTTCTGGCTAGAACTGGAAGTGAAACTGCCAGAAATCTCCAAAGTAAGCCTGTCTTGTGAGATTTCTAGCTTAGGCTATTTTTCTTTCTTTGTTATTTATTTATTTTGATTTGAAGAAATGTTGGCAATTCGGACAAGTCTCATTTATACATCAAAACCCGAACTCTGAAATTCCACTGTGGCTTGCAGTGCTGAACCTATACTACTATTTACTGCTTGCTTACACTTGTTTCACATGTCTCAAGTGCTCCTGTTCTTTCTCACGTACCAACATACATTCCACCATGGTCTTTGCTTGCTGATGATTTAAATCTTCTTAGAGAAGGTATGAAAAAATATTGCTACCCAGGTGACAGGCTTACTCAAATGGCAGAACAGGCAAGGCTCAGGAGAAGCCATTACTGCATCTTACAAAAGAAATTTGATATGTTGCATGGAGCACTGTATTTCAGCAGAAAGGCTTTGCTGCTACACTGAATACAAAGGGGAAGGTTTTCCATTATTTTAAACTGGCAAAGGCTATTGAAATCAGTTACAGATTTATCCCTTCCCTCTCTGTCCGTCTCATTAGCAGTGCCTCGTATGGCTTCTGATCACATTGGGACTATGTGATACTTTCAGATGGCTGATTAATTCATCTCTTCTGCCCTTCAAATCGGTGTTGCATACGCCACTGAAAATCAACAGGGCTGCACATATCTACATTGAAGGATAATTTGGACTAGTAAATTTAATGAATAAGTAGAGCCGTTTGAATATGACAATGGTCTGTGACACAGCATTTTTAACGTTTGAAAGTGAGTTACTACCCACAGCATTTGTAATCATACAGCTTCAAAATCTGGAGGGTTACATACTCAGCTTCTTTCTCCAGATTTTAATTGATGACATAGAACCATAATTTGTGAAAAGAAACACTGGGAGCCAGAGAAAAGATTATCTATTTTCACTAAGGCTTAAGAATTCAAGCAATCTCCAGTCAGTTTTACACTGGCACCCTGGTAACTTTTAAAGGGTGTTGGAAGGCAACAAGGGAAAGTGTTCTGACCATGACAGAACATATTTTCCTGTCACTAAACTATTCAGGCTCCTTAGTTATCCCAGGAAGGCTGTGGTCAAGCTATTTTTTCATCAGAAGTTGACAGAATGTAATCAGAGACCAAAAACCAATCATTTTATGCCTGGATGTTTTATGACTGACAACAAGAGCATCCTATTTAAATTTTATGTTACTTTAAGGACTCCTCGTTGCAGTGGCAGTGTTTTGTAATAGTCCTCGGAGTGTGCTGTATTTTTTATGTTGGGAAAAAAACATTCAGCAGATTGAAATAAACTACATAGACCAGTTGTCTGTTGCTAATCTACAATCATGATAAAATCTGACCTGCAAATATAATTTAATATTTTGCCTTATTGTTTCCAGGATCAAAGAGAGAGGACTTACTCAACAGTGAAAACCAAATCTACTTCAGCTTCTATAAATAACTTAAAGCCAGGAACAGTGTATGTTTTCCAGATTCGTGCTTTTACTGCTGCTGGTTATGGAAATTATAGTCCCAGACTGGATGTTGCTACACTAGAAGAAGCCACAGGTAAATATTTAAATTTATAGGCAATTACCATTTTCAGTAGAAGCAGTAGGTAAAACAGAAAAAAAAAAAAGAGAAGAGTCATAATATTACCAACATTTGAAAGAATAGCAAATATGCTAAATAAAATTTGGTCTGATTTGATTGAACTGTCCTTCCAAATTCCATATGAAAGTGGATTTTTGAAACTGTACTTTGAAGAATGAGCTTCAATTAGTTGTTGTGTTGTAGAGCTAATAATTATACTCTTGTAATTAGGCAGAAAAGATTTGTGACATAGCAGGTTCTTCCTCCCTAATGTCCTTCTAACATAAAGCAAATGATGTTTTCACTTGAGCACACACTTCGTCCTCCCTACCTCAGAAGTGAATAATGGTGAGATAAGTGACTCTACTATATTCTTCAGTAGCTGAGGAGAGGCTGAAGGGACTTCAACCCACAAAAGCTTCTCCAGGTCAATTATTTTTTTTCCTGCCTGATTTCCTAAAAGAAAAAACCTTTATGACTTTTTGTTTATGATGTATGTTTTATCTTTACATCCAGCCTTAGTTTCTTTTGAGCTCATTGGCTAGTTTCAGCTGAGTTTTCTAAAGAAACAGAGGTCTCAAAGATACTAAGTTTCTTTAAAGTTCATGTTGCAACCTAAGCATAGAAAAACATCCTATTAAAACCCTCATTATGGAAAAAAAAATGATGTAGAAATTTGGTGAGTATGATACATCAGATAAAGCTGACATGTCTGTGATATTGTTATCTCAGCAGTGGGGTCACATTCAGTGAGAACTTGTTCTTCCTTTGATGCTAAAACGTGTCTTTATTTGTTCAAAAATCTTGTTGATACCTTTTTTTTTTTCCCCATTGACCATACAGTTACATAGTTACACAGTTACAGAAAGATTTCCACATTTGGGGTCTTAGAAAACTCTTGGGTCACAGCGACCTGACAGCTGTGAGCTCGCTCACCCAAACTGCCTGTGTCCCTGGCAGCTTCACTGCCCTGACACAGACCTAAAATTTAGTTATGCCGTTTTGGGTCACTTGCTTCAATTTGACATTTCTGAAAAGGGTTCATCCAGCTTTGAGCTGGAGATATGTAGCCTACAGGTTCAAAGGCTGCAGACAGCCAAGTCTGGTCTCTGTGCTTTATCCAGAATATTTAAGGCCCGGATACATGCTGTAATATCCTGTTAATTACAGTCAGGCACTGCAGGAACGATTGGTGGATGTGTCTTAAGAAACAGTAGGTCTTAACCTTCCTTCCATACAGAATATAAAAAGATATTAATAATGAATAATAACACATCAAATAGTTATAATTGAAATAGTAATTACGATAATAGCAGCAATAAAATATTAATACTTATATAATTCACTCACTGATAACATGCTTCCCATCTGTAGAATTCCACTTTACAAAGGAAGTCAGTAGCAGAATCTCCATTTTAGAAGATGGGGAACTGAGATACAGACTGAAGTAATTTCTTATTTTGAGTAGATTTTCTGGCAAACAAATGGAAAGTCTGCCACAATCTGTCATATGCTTCTGGCAATTAGCTGATATATTGTACATAGTGGTTTACCAAAATGTTTCCCAGACAGTTCCTTAATTACCAGAGTATTCTTTATACGCAGAATATAAGCATACAAATAGCCACAAAAATTAGCAAAGATAATTTCTGGGGTCAAACAGTTTCAACTAGAGTTTGCTCAGTTGTAAGATTAGGAAAACTAGAATAAATGCATCTCTGGCCATTTTATGCACTCTTTCTGTGACTCAGGTAACAAAAAACTATATAATATAAAGTAGGCCTATATTAGGCCAGTATATACAGGAGAGCTTTTCTCTTGTCACAAGCTAGGTTTGTGTTTGACATACTCTGTGACATGTTCTCCGCTTTGATGAAAAAAAAGAAGTGTCATGTTTCCAATTTTCCTGAGAGGGCACTATAACATATCTCTTAAAGGATAATCAAACTCTATTTTTGTATATGTTTTTCAGAAACAATTAAAATGCTAGGGAAAAAAAATCAATTAAATTATTTTAGAGTTATTTGCTTTATGCAAGTAAGGGTATTTTATTTGTGTTTTTATCACATCTTGCAAGCTCATTGAATTAGGGTTTTACTAACATTTTAAAGGAAGATCTTCCATGCATAATTTTTAGGCAGTATACTTTATGTGAAGTTTTGTAGAGGTGAGCAGTAAACCAGTGTTATATTACAGTAGTGAGGAGGTATTGGCTCCTCATTATTCTTGTGATTTTTGACCATAGCTTTTAAAGACGTCAAAGTAATTTAAAAGTACATAGAGAGTACTCAACCATCATAGTCAGATAGACCTGTTACCTGCTGGCATTTCTCCAGGCATTTTAACTGTTGAGTGTCTTTTGATTAGTGTTCTTCTACTATGCTTATGCTTCTGTGTTGTAGCTCAAACTATATGGCCACCTTCCAGAGCTACATCCATTATATTAATATTATATATGAAATATATTAAATACATGTTTGCACACACACAAAAGAATTGTTGGACATCACATATGTATTTATGCAAAGACTTTCAAATTATTACTATTGAGTTTTTCACCCAATCAAAAGCTAAAAATCATTGTCATTCACTTGTTGATTAGGAGAGGCAGAAGTCCCTCAGGGAGAACATGTAAATCTACAGAATATCACTTAAGTGAGAATTTTCTCTTTTGATTCACCAAATTATTTTAAAAATATGTTAAATCAGTTGTAGCCAATAGATCTAAAGAGGCTTCTGCACTTTTTTTTTCTCCCCAAAAATTAAGATATATGTTGTGTTCTGGGGATTCGACAAAGTAAACCTCAAAAAGCACCAACTCAAAAATGCTTATGGCTTCTTTTAATCAGATTTTAAATGGAAAAACAATTGTGAAATTGTTTGTGAAATTTTGTTGGTTTTCAGCCAAGAATGGGTGAGTATAAGGCATAGAGCATGAAAGAGCATAGTGGAGGAGCAGCACAGTTTTTACAGCTAATCTCCTTTTTAGAATTATCCAAATATGTTTGAATATACAATCCCCATCACTCCAACAGTGTACATGGAAGGTGATTTTGACTCCTCCAAGTAGAGCATTCCCTTAAGTCAGTGTAAGGACAGACTTCCTTCTTCTGCTGCTAGCCCCCTACCACTACCCTAGTGTTAGAATCATAGAATCATAGAATCTTAGAATCATAGAGTCACAGAATGCTTAGAGTTGAACAGGACCTCAGAGGTCTAGTCCAACCCCCCTGCACATGCAGGGTCACCTAGAGCACATGACACAGGGCTGCATCCAAGTGGGTTTTAAAGATCTCCAAAGAAGGAGACTCCACAACCTCTCCAGGCAGCCTGTTCCAGTGCTCTGTCACCCTCACTGTCAAGAAGTGTTTCCTTAAGTTCCTGTGGAACTTTTGGTGCCTTTTAGTGTTATATCAACACTAGTGATAGGTAACATTGCCATGGAGCCACTCAATTTTTTTTTCTGAAAGATGTGAAAATCTTTCCTCTAGGACTACTCTAGCATCTTTAATTTTGCCAAACCACAGTGATTATGACAAAAGTTAGCTTCTGAATCCAACTTAAACAACTAACAGCCTGAGTTCATCCCACAGAAGGAAGAAGCAGTACAGAGCTGGAACAAAAGCAGATGTGTTTGCTGCCACTGAATTTTTGTAACTCCTGTCAGACCAGACTCATAATCAGGCCTTTCCCTCACAAAGATGTAAAAATACCTGATGCATCACATCCCAATTATCTCACCAGTTGCCTGGTGTTCCATGCTCCCAACATTTTCCAGAGCCCAAATTACATCCTCCTTTGCTTCCAGAATGTGCCAGCTTTTGGGGCACAGCAACCCACTCACATATGTCAACCTCTGCGCATTCAATTCAGCTGCTAAATAAGATGAAAAGATCTGGTTATTATTATTCCTGTTAGGAATAACACAAGACTGATAGGTGGATGTACCCTCACATACTCACCATTGCTGTAGGATGATGCATTTTTGGACAAGGTACTGACCACTAATTCCTTGCAAGTTCCAGAAAGAGGATACATGTAGGCCTGTTACAGTCAGGTTACCTGAGTATCCCAAAAACTTATTGATATTCAAAGGCAAGCACTTTTCTGTGTACTTAAGATTAAAGACAGGTATGAGTAATGAGATCATCCGCAGCTCAGTAATGAGATCCTCCTCAGCTGCATTAGATAGAATATAGAAAAACTATAAAGTCCCTAGGAAATAAAATCTGAGGTCAGAACTAAGAGGATATTTCCCCTCAGGGCAGGATATTCTGTATCTTTGTAGCATGTCAAGGTGTTTTTTTATATTTTTCAGGGAACCAGCTGGTACAGATCAGTGTCAGTGATGAGATAAATCATGTTGATTGGCTCACTTCTCTCCAGACAGGTCAAAGAAAATGTTATTTTGTTTGTTTGTATGGAAACCTATGAAATCTGTTACAGAAACCTGGTTCTGTGGAATTCATAAAATTCTCATGTATACATTCCTGTTTAGTTAACATTACCAGGAGTTAACTGCATTAACACATCTTTTTTTTTTTCTTTTTTCTTTTTCTGTTTTTTTGCTTTGTTTTTATCTCTCCCCTGCGTCCAAATGATTTCTCAGTATCACTGCCTGATATCTCCTCCTTGACTCTCACTCTCTTAGCCAGATTCTCACTGTTACAAATCAGTGTAGCTCCACAGAGTTCATCAGAGCTGTGCCTATTTAATATAACCTAGTATGCAGCTGTCTTCATTAGGTGATGGGCAAACAACATGTTTAACAAATTTCAAGGTTTTCCAGGCTAAGTATTTACAATATACATTAGTCTGACATGTATACCTTTTCATATATTAACAGCATTGACATAATTTAATAATAAAAGGAATAATGTGTGGATTTTTTGTGTGTAAATTCCTTGAAACATGGAAAATTTCTTGCGAATATGGAAGTACATTTTCAATGGAAACAAATGCTAAGTTTATGCTAATATTAGTCATTTACAATGCTTAAAAGCAAGAGAAAAAAATATGTTAACTGAAATGAAATCTGTGCAAATAGGGATCCATCAGTGGTCTCATGTTAGAGGATAATATTAGGAAATAGTATATATTTCATCTTAGCTTTTTCTTATAGGTAAGATACTTTTTTATAGGGGTAAAATCAAAGTCAAATCAACACGTTTTAGGGGTGAAGCCCTTGTGGAGCTCTTCAGGGATTATTCTCCCTCTCCCTTTTAATACAGATGAAACAATAGAATTTACTGGTATGGCTTTCAGCTTCTGGTTCTACCATCTTGACCAAGTTAATTTCAGCATAACATTTTATTCCCTCCAGATGATGATTAACTCATACATCATTTGATTGAATTTCTCATATATATCTTGCTTTAACCTCATTAATGTCTGTTAAATAGTTTCAGGCAATAGAAAAGGTAAACTAACAATCTCCAATTCATGAGCACTAATTTATCTATGGCAGTTCCTTTATATGGAATACTTTGAACTAATCTCTGTTCCTTGCCCTTTTTGTAGCCACGGCTGTTTCCAGTGAACAGAATCCTGTTATTATCATAGCTGTGGTTGCTGTGGCAGGAACCATCATTCTGGTCTTCATGGTCTTTGGATTCATCATTGGACGAAGGTACTGCCCCTCATATAGATATAAGCATATCTGATCCCCTTCAGTCATAGACTAGTCTGGGATAGTAATTTGTAGAACTGGAGTGGAATGCTTAATCATGACAATATACATTTAGATCCTGTTATCAAATATTCAGTTAGTCCCCCTACTGTAGCAAGGCACACTTAAATCAAGATGTTCTTTTTGTCCTATGCAAATGTGCAGGGGAAAGAACCTTCAGCAGATTCTCTACCTGGGCTCCTCAAAGCTTCAGTTTCTATTCAGTTTTTCTCACATGGAGAAGACTGACACTTTATCTTATCAGCCATTAAATGACATTACATTCAAGAAAAAGGGGCACAGCAGTAAGTTTAAGAATACCCTCCAGCTTTCAAGTTTGTTAATCCTCTGTTTTACCCAGAGGAATATCCAGCTTTTCAGAGGAAGTAGAGCTTTCTGTTCAGGACCTGTCCTAACTGGTATTTTGTATAGAAGCCTTTTGATTACAACTGTTCATGATTTATTTAAAACTCTGCTCTTCAGAGAATTATAGCTTAAACTCTTAAAGGGTCCTTGGAAGTTAGGTCCTCAATGCCTGAAAATCCCAGCCTGTAAAACTGATGTTGGCAGAGCTTTAGATGTGAGGAAGTAAATCATTATTTACCAGTAAAACCAGCCTCTTTCTTTTCAGGCATTGTGGCTATAGCAAAGCTGATCAAGAAGGGGATGAAGAACTTTACTTTCATTGTAAGTGTTTTGCCTTCTTTCCCCCTTTCAGGAATTCCCAACTCAGTTATAAGAGAGTGGTATTAGCACTAGCATAGAGGATAGTAAAACAACGTTCCATGAAAGAAAAACACTGTGTAAATAGAAAGCAAGAAGTCTAAAATTGTAAAAATATGACATATACAAAAACAATGCACATTAAAATCAAGATTGTTCACACTTGGAAGTTTATTTCTTTACATCTGGATCATATATTGTTATTCTCATTTTGCATGTCTTTTTTTTTGGTTGCTTTTGAATACATGTTTCACACCTTCCCAATGATCCTACTAATTGAAGGGTCCTTGGCTAAATAAGATGTTTACCTTAGGCAAATTTGTATTTAAAAAGTGAGGGTTACTGTGACACACTAGCAGTGTAGGTATTCTGCACAAAAGCTGTTTTTGACAATTGTGGACACCATAGTTTTGACATTTAAAGAATATGCAATTCTTAAAAAGGATAGAATACTTAGTAAGAAAATAAATCTGAAGTATTTAATTACAATTTTTAGTTCTAAAATCTGTTGCCTAATAGCAAGAAGCAGTATCCATAGCCCTTTTTTTAAAAAAACGTAGTTACTATCTGAGATTATACTAGAATCTCAGGAATATTTAATAAAATAAATCTGTCTTATGTGGATCACATTTGAAAATATAAGAGGAGAGAAGGAGTTTTACACTAAGAAAAAATAGTTTGATGTTTGCAGAAAATAAAACTTTTTTAACCCTTCCTCATTTCAGTTGTAATATCATTTTGAGATGAAAAATGAGAAATATTGTAAATTGTTTTAGAATCAGTGATCTACTGAGGAAATAAGTAAATCGCAAATTCAAAAATTAGAATTAAATTGAATATTAATTCTGACAAACAGCAACACATGTTGTTTGCAATTTTTGTCTATAGTTGCAGCTGTAGTTTAAATATATCGAAATGTTTATGACATTAATATAGTTTATCTTCTTTTACATTTGTTAAAAACATAAGCTATCATCGAGATGTAATATTACATAAAGAATGAAGTAGCCACTAAACAAGAACTTCTAACATTTTCTAATGCACATCTCTCTCAACCAGTAATTCAAGATAAAGCTCCAGGCAAAATCAGATTAAGTTTTCTGTTTCACCTTTCTGCCTTGGCAAAACCAGTTCAGCCTGTATTTGTTCATGCTCCTTGGATTTGGGTGTGTTGCTACTTAAATCATTTCTTTTAAATGCAGATAGTATTAAACTAAGTAGTGACATCATTGCAGCTTTAGTCAATCCATATATGAGCCAAACAAAGAAGGTGGAAAGTAATAATGGAATAAGATTTATTTATCTTACATATAAGATAAATAGTTCAGTTATTTTTAAAGTTCAGTTGTTTTTAAAGAATTCATCAAAAATCTGATTTTACTTAAATATTGCTATTCTGAGAGCGATAGATCTGAAATTTGCCTCTTTTATGTGCATTATAAGCTTTTGCTCATCTTCAGAAGAGCTATTGCTTTCACTTTTTAAAATGCCCATTATGGCCTTGAAGGAAAAGATTGACTTTGTATTCTTGAACTTAAGAATATAAACAAAAGGAAGGGACTTGCTGGATAATTCTTTCACTCATTAATTATCTGGGAACATTTTTGTTTCAGTGAAAGAATTAATATGAAAATACTAATATGAAAGCTGCTACTTAATGTTTAGCAGCTGATCCAGAAATGCTGAGTCTTTATTAGCATTTATTTCTTCCACTTCGCTTTCTTTTGGGAAATGTGGTTATGCAGGAAATCAGTCAAAACAGTTAATACACATAACCTTTTTAAAAACAAAGCTGGTACTAAATACCAAAAAAAGTCAGTTCTTATCCAGGCATTGGATTGGACTGGATATCCAGGCACCAGACTGGATTTTCTTATAAGTAGCCATTTAAGCAGGAATTTAATAGAATATCAAATCTTTTTTCTTTTTTTCAAGTCCTCAACTCTCCATGGCCCCAAGAGCTACTTTAATAAATATAATGGAGGAGTTTAGTCAAGCAGTTCTAATTTACATTTCGTTCCCTCCTACCATTTTTTTCTCACAATGTCTTCAATTCCTTGCCAGTGCTGTTTCACGATAGTATGCCAAGATAGCTTTGGCCTGTCAAAATGTTTTATGACAGTTTGAATAAAGAACCATCAGACACCCATTTGAGATTCACAAGGTTACATCCAATCCAGAGTTCTTATCACAGACGCAAGAGGATGGCTCATTCTCTGTTTCCTTGCGCAAAACCCAAAAGCACCATAATAGGAGATTAACCTTTTTTTTTTTTCCCTCTTCTCCAGCCCTTTCTGATTTAAATAAATAAACACTGATCTCTTACAATATCTGAAGCATTATCAGTGCAATTAGAACATATTTGTAGATATGTAACACAACAGACAACAATATCTGGGCAAAATTGTAAATAATAGTAAATATATTAAATATAGTAAATATAGTAAATATAGTAAATAGTAAATAATAGTAAACGGTTACTAAACCACTTTTCAATATATTTTACAATATGAAATATTTTATGTTCAATAGATTAAAAAATAATTTATTATTTTTATTTTTACTCTTACCTTGATCCAAATTTTGTATTTGAGTACATCAATTAGCATAGAAACATTCTTGCTTTTCTCTTTTTTATATTGAGATTTATTTCACTGCCTTAATAATAGGACTAGGACTTAATAATATTACATAAAAATTACATTACTCAATAATAACCTAGGACTATAATGTGAGCCAAATTTATTTAAAAAAAAAAAAAGTTTGGTTTTAATAGATTTCTAGGATTGCTCTACTTTCAAATAGAAGTTCTGATCGAGATAGTTTAATAATTTTATTGAAGCAGTAGCAGATTAAGGGGAAAACTGTATGTTGGCCAGAGGTCTATGGTACAACAAGAATTACATGGGAAAAATAGAGCAGAATTCAAGGTTCTGTGTATTGCTCACTTAGGTGCTTGAGCAAGGCAATAATTGCCCCTAAAGTCCATTCTCCATTCCTCTGCCGTTACCAATTGAATACAAGTATCTGTCATGTTTATAATCTAGTATAAGCGATGCACTTAGGAGCATAAATTCTAAGAGCTTTGAATAGTTTAGCTTTGCTATTGCTACAGTCTGTAAATAATACTGCATTCAATAGTTTAAGCAAAATGAAATAGGTAGAGGAGCTCTTCAAATCCCTCTCAACGACAAGGATAATGTAAAGAAATGTTGTTTGCTCGAGCAGGGAAAAGATGATGTGGTCTTAACACAGGAAAGAAAGTTGCAGCTCCCTTACTGCTCTCAGAGCTCGCCCCTGCTTTCTTTTTACTCCCGCTCAACATTTCATTTCATCCATCAAGCATTGTTTAATATTTATTGCATTTTCCACTTCGAGGTGGAGATGTCGATGCTAACATTAGCCATGTGCAGAGGTGGGATCGTGCGTTTCTGTGGGCATACTTGCAGAGGATGCCTACGAGGAGAGTTAAAGCTGTTGCGATTCGGGCGGTGTGGAAGCAGGCGCACTCTTCCAGGGAGCACTCTGCCTGATGAAAATCCCGGGCTGGCTGCACAAGAAGTGCCTTTGCTTCATCACAGTCATGCTTTCTTACATCATTACAGTTAAATTTCCAGGCACCAAAACCTACATTGACCCTGAAACCTACGAGGACCCAAATAGAGCTGTCCATCAATTCGCCAAGGAGCTAGATGCCTCTTGTATTAAAATTGAGCGGGTGATTGGTGCAGGTAAGGCTGCCGCGGCTTGCTTATTCATCTGTTCCATTTAACCAGGATCGAAACTCATACATCATAATGACAGGCAAATAATTATACCTCAAGTATAGAAGAACTTTTTGCATTTACCAGAGCGGTTAAGAGCAATGAAGCTATGCTCGCTTCTGAAATGCAAAAAGCAAACAGACTAACAGGAAGAAAAAAAATGAAAAAGAGGAGACTTACTTGGCATTGAAATCCTGTGAGTTTCTAATTTTTATCTGATTTTTAGAATGTAAAAAGCTAATTAGAAAAGAAGTTTTACTGCCTGTTATTTAATGTCCGAACAAAGGTGCCAGTGCAAATTCTGCTCTCACCTTCCTTGTTTTAAGACAATTCTTTGACCTCTGGATTTTCCCTCATGTGAGGAAAGAAAACTGGCTGCAGCACAAAATCTTATATAGAGACTAAGAAGCTCTTGTTTCCTGTATAACAAAATCTTCCCTAGGGCTGGTTTTTTTTTCCCTTACAATTTTTCTTTTTGATATTTTATGAATACAAAAAGTTATTGTTTTACTTCTCATGACTGATTGTAATTGCACCAGCATACATTGCTTTTCTTCTTCTTGAACCGTCTACCACCTACTTAAGCCATAGTGTTCATGCTTTAAAAAGGCAGTTTCATTTGTTTGCATTAATAAGATATGTGACATTTTTATTGCAATACCCAATGTAGTGAAATTAAGTTTCTGTGGGGAGGAAAAATATCAGATACTTTGGATTCCTGGAGGAAATGTTCTTTTGCTTTCCTGTTGTTTTTATGAAAGTATTAGTAGAATACTTTTAAAATCACCCTGTAGTTTGGTATGCACTGTAAATTACATACTGCAGTAGTGCTTAAAAAGAGAAGGAATATCTCTAAAATATTCAAATGTAAGCTGTGGAAAAAGCCTTTACGCTTAGAATTCATCATGCCTCTTAAATCTCACTCATGTTAAATCATGTCTTAATCGAGGAGCAGCACTGCTGAAATTAACATTGTTTATTAGTTGAGATGAGTAAGGGTGTAAGAATCCAGCTCTTTATACCTAGTGATGTTTCTGGTACTAAAATGGCAGCATCACTTCTAATAAATAAAGTTTACAAGATTTAAATTCCACATTACCCTAGAAAAATTACTGAACTTTATATTTGCTTTCAGCTGAAAAGCTATCAACATAGAAACAGTTCAGAGCACAAAGATATATTCAGTTGGAATTTGCCTATGCATTGAGCAAAATGCTGAAAATGCTTCAGTTGCAAGGAGGATATAGCTTAAGACAGAAATATTCTCTCTGTTATGACAGAGTAAATCCAGCATATTAGTTTTATTGACTGCAGATGAATTTTTTTTCTGGATTTTCATGAGTATAAAAGTAGCAGAAAAATAAAGCAGAGGTACATCACTTGGTGAAAGCATACTGTGTATTTGATTTAGCTATTGCTTTACCTTGTTAATGTAGATAGCCAGGAAGAGTGAAGTGAAAGGTAATCCAGGTACAACAGAATTTTAAAGACTGAAAAAAGCATCTGAATCACATACATCAAAGAAGAATATAGATTTTTTACTAGTGACAGCATGAGAAAAGCCACTTGGCAGAGTCTCAATAAGCCTGAACAGTGCTGGCCAGATCAACACTGGAGTAGTGCTTTATAAGCACTCAGATAAGCAGGGTGCAAGTATGCTTGTGCACAATTTGCATGATGGATATTTGCTTTCTTTGACAACATTTTCATTACCATCCTGCTGATGCCACCTGTCAGACAGAGAATTTGGTGTCCACTATGCTAAGTCCTTGCTCACCACAGACCTTTGACTGTAGCTTCTTCCTTGTACACATGCTAAGTTAGTGGTGTCCCTGAGGTTGTGCATTGCTTCTGCTCTTGTTGCCATATTTTATATATCCTTTTTGGGCATCATTTCATCTAAATATACTATTTTGTTGTGAGTAAAAATGTATTCTATAGCTCAGTGGCTAACATTCTGGCGTGAAATACATAACATACACATTCAAGTTTCTTCTTTGCCTGAATGTGATTGATCTCCTTTTGGAAATAAATCAAAATCCAACTGTAGAAAGCTGGAAAGTAGTTAAGCCGTAGTGTCTTCTGTGCCAAGAACTCTAATTACCTGGCTACAAAGTATCATATACACATATGCACATACTCACGTCTTGTTTTCACTGTGGAATAAAAACAATTTTGGAAGTTTTGCAGTAGAAAATTGTTATCCTTTAGTTATCACAGCTAGTGGCTGTGAGTGATTTAAGTGGTGAACTCATTAATAGTTGTCCATATTGCTAATGAAGTGCAGGAGGGAGGTTAAGCTACCAAGCTATTATCCTGTGCATCCCGGACTGATTCTACCAAAAGGCATAAGCAGACCAGCAGCAAATTATGTATGTCTCTGCCTTGTACAATTCATAGCCACCAGTTATATAAGACCATATTTCCAATGTTTGAAGATAATGTTGCCTTGTGCAACTCCTGTGAAGACAGAAACAATTTCTTCTTGAATCGTATTAGTCCAGGTAAAACACTGTGTATATGGAGACAGTTGGAGCTGTCTTTTACTTGACTAGCTTAGAATGAGGAGAGGAATTTGACTGTGTGTGAACTCATCTTCTATGAGATTCATAAAACCTACCCGAGTGAGTGAGGATTTGTACAGACAATTCAATAGGAAATATTAGGATCTGGCCAAAATCCTACTCTTGAAAAGGTTTTTCTTCTTTTGTTCTGGACTGGAGGGAATGTGATCTAAGAAGCTGAGAGCAGGCAATGCTTTCTTCTATCTCTGAACTCAGCTGTCACGTGTAACAGTAAAACAGTCTTGCAGTGGTGACAGTATCTTAAACAAGATTTCTCAGAACTCATCTGCTAGAACATTTTAACATCTATACTTTAACCTGCTAGGGCCATTAAGCTATTTCTAGGCATCATTCTCTCTCTATTGCCAGCTAGACTCTCTTCCTAGTGCATATATATTTTCATATAAGCCCTGATTCCACCAGGTTTCTCAAGATCCCAGGCTATATCCCAAGAGGATATTCTAATCAAATACTCTGTATCAATCTTTTCTACCTTAATATCTTTTTTTTTCAGTGCTCATACTAAAACAAAGCTTGGATGCAGATGTGTCTGCATATCTGCCAATTAGCTTAGTGTTAAGGCACTCTGTAAGTGTACAAGGAATTAGATAAATTCTCAGACTCCCACTTGATTATATTAGGAGGAGTTATCACCCCATATTTTATGTACTTACTATGAATTTGTCAACTACCCCAATATTAAATATTCTGATGATTCTTTCTCTTTTTGAATATATAGTTCTCTTTTATCAGTCTAAAATATGTTACTACCTCATTCTTGTGTGCATCCCAAAAGATTTTTCTTCCTAGCTGCAGAACATGGGTCTTTCCTTCTCTATTCTGACACTACTGCAAGACAAGGAACAATCCTTAAATCTTTTACCATCTTAAACTTGATAACAGTGAAATATAACCATTCAGATCCACATCTTATATCTTCTAGGTTTTTTTTCATGTCTGATAGGGTCCATTTACCTCTCTACCAGATTAGTATTGTTGAGGCTTTTGAGGGATTCTTGCTGCTTATTTGGCCATTTTTATTCTTGTTCTTCTCCAAGTTTCAATTGTCTATTCATTTGGAGGACTTTGACAAAACCCCAGCATTTTGTTATGTTTGTTTAATTTAACATGTGGTAGTGCTTCATGTAGTGCTTCATTTAGCACCATAACAGTGTTAAATTAAAAGCAGCTGAAAAAGAAAAAAGAAAGAAAAAGAAAAAGAAAAAGAAAAAGAAAAAGAAAAAGAAAAAGAAAAAGAAAAAGAAAAAGAAAAAGAAAAAGAAAAAGAAAAAGAAAAAGAAANAGAAAAAGAAAAAGAAAAAGAAAAAGAAAAAGAAAAAGAAAAAGAAAAAGAAAAAGAAAAAGAAAAAGAAAAAGAAAAAGAAAAAGAAAAAGAAAGAAAAAGAGAATGTCTTTGTGTTCTTAAGTAATCCAGTTCAAATAGAAACTTTCATCAGGTAAATGTAAACACATACATGGGCAGCTGGTTGAATGAAGCCTGAAAGGCTTGTGATATTATAGTCAGTGCAATTCAGTGTTGTTCTACCTCATTTTAGGAGAGTTCGGCGAAGTGTGCAGTGGGCGTTTGAAGCTTCCCGGCAAGAGAGACGTGGCAGTAGCCATAAAAACCCTGAAAGTGGGCTACACTGAAAAGCAAAGGCGAGATTTCTTATGTGAAGCAAGCATCATGGGGCAGTTTGACCACCCCAACGTGGTTCATTTAGAAGGGGTTGTTACCAGAGGTAAGGAGGGACTTCATCTGTCAGTCAAATAATAACCTAATGGCAGAAATTACTTTATTTTAACCATGGTCAAGAATTCAAATTATAAACAGGCTGCACACTCTTAATGGATTTTCTCCTGATGCGGAACTAACTAAAACAATACTTACTTTATAGTAAAACCTGAGGAAAAAATTAAGATGCATGCATGATTAAAAGAAGTAGTACTTTGAAATATATTATTTCTTCTAGTTTCATTTAGCCTCAAAGACCATTCAGGGAGATAAGGTTTCTTATGTCCTTTCATATTATCTAAAGTGTCATTATTCCAGAGTCCTGTTCACACAGCAGTAGTCAGGAGAACACACTGACATTTTGATTTGTATGGTTTAATTTTCAGAATCATGACCATATTCCGTGCAGACATTTAAGACCTTATTAGAGCTCAGTAACAGTGCTGGAGGCTTCAAAAATGCTTATGTCTCAGTGATGCAGACCTTCAAAGAAATAACATATGTTTTATCAAAAAAGGGCAGTCCATTTATATTAGAGTTTCTCAAGCAAAATGCACCTTATTTTCTTTTAGGGAAACCAGTCATGATTGTAATAGAATACATGGAGAATGGGGCACTCGATGCCTTTCTTAGGGTGAGTATTAAAAAAAAATGTACATATTCTTTTTTAAAGTGATTATATGTGTTTGTGTGTGCGCGTGTGTTTCTATACATATATAAAATATATATGTATATAAAATATATAAAGGAATATGTGTGTGTGTGTGTGCACATATGCTATTAATTTAATGTAATAAAAGTACTTTTCAGAATGAGATGAAACCTAATAAATACTAGCAAATCTCTAAATTATTTCAGCAAAATTAGATCAGAAATAGTAAGACATGACAGGATCACATTAAAACAATCAAGGGAATGAAGAGATTTAATGTCATATAGAAATAGTGGGTTCTCACTAGTGATACATGAAACTATACCTTCTGCCTTTTTGGAGTAGTCTTTCTCTCTCTGTTATTTCCTTTTTACTTCCTTCCTCCCTTCGATCGCTACCCAAGAATCCCTATGTTTTTTCAGATAAAAATCAGAGGAATGTTGTTGAGGAGAGGAAAAAGAAGCACAAGTTTAACAACTACTTAATATTTGTTGAGTGCATGTTCTGAACTGCCCCACAATCTCTTTACTTTGTGTGCAAGAGTGAAAATGTGAAATGACTTATTCAGAGACAACAGAAAGATTAAGACGAGATAAATATGACACGAATAAAATTTTCAGTAGTTAAGATTCACAAAGGAGATAGACCTCGTTTCCTAGATGCATGATTAGTTTAAGAGATAAAGAGGTGTACACAAGTAAACGCTCTCAAAAAAAAGGATTTAACCATAAGTTAACCAGAATTAAATGGTAGTTAGTAGATTCTTTTAGAATACATAAGCTGTTGATGCATTTCTTAACTGGATGCATTACTTTATGTGTGGAACAAGTAAAACCACGATTGTAGTGAGTTTCACTGCTTCAGGATGATTTGCCATATAGATAGCAAGTAACTAGAAAGCTAAAGTTGTGAAACTAATTTTTATTTCTCTTCTCAGCTATACTAACAAGAATTGCTTCTCCTTTCTTCCCTCCAGAAACATGATGGGCAATTTACAGTCATTCAGCTTGTGGGCATGTTGAGAGGAATTGCTGCTGGAATGAGATATTTGGCCGATATGGGCTACGTACACAGGGATCTTGCTGCACGCAATATTCTTGTCAACAGCAACCTTGTTTGTAAAGTGTCAGACTTTGGCCTTTCAAGAGTTATAGAAGATGATCCGGAGGCCGTCTACACTACTACTGTAAGAGAAATTGATATTTTAGAACACTTTTGAGATGTCGCTATTAAGAAGAAGCATATCTTCTGGAGAATACAGATAAGAGAAACACATTAATTGCATGAAATGCTAACCAGTTAAAAGGAAAAGTCTCTCTGCAGAAAACTTCCTCAGTACAGTTCGATATTTTTGCAAGAGCATAAATTTTTATTTGGTAAAGTCCTAAAAAGTTTGCATAGCATCTTGCCTAATAGGAGTCAAGTAAAATATTTTTAGGGGATTACCATTTATCAAATTAGATTTTATCTCACCAAAAAGTTGACTAGCTGGAGACTGGCTGTGACAAAGCTAAACTGCTGTATTTTCCTTTGGTTTGGGTGGGAATCTTTTTTAAAATAATCTTTCATTGGGCACACTCTGTTTTTCTGTTGAGCCAACTCTGCTTTCCCACCCTGGGGCTCTGCTGTACCTATTTTCTCATGTTGAGGAAAGGAGGGGCCCTGGAATCTGTCCTGACAGGCACAAGGATGAAGGAAACTGCATCTGCATTCATGGCTGTCACTCCTATCAGTGGGCTCTAAGCGGGATCCTAGGTTTAAGATGTCAAAATGAGATTATGAAGGAGATATATGATGCGTCACTGGGATCTGTATGTAGAGGATGAGATGCCCCTCACCCAATTTCAGCCAGGCAAGTGTCAAGTGTTTACTCCAAATTAGACATCTGCGCAGTCCTCAAAGTCTGTGGAGAGAGAAACACTTCCAGAAAGAAATGCGTCCACCTTATCTTAGGCAAGTGTCTAAGTTTCTACAGTTTCAGTGTTTTAAGAGCCTAATTTTCCTTAGAGTCATTTTGAATTCTATAATTAGTCAATGATAGTAAATGATAGAGGTACTAGTTTCAGTGCTGATGGAAATAATTATAAACATAGTCTAAGGAAAATACCATAGAGATTTTGTGGGAAAAAAATACTCTTTTTTTATTTATTTATTTTTATTTTTTTAACAGGGTGGCAAAATTCCAGTTAGATGGACAGCTCCAGAAGCCATCCAGTATCGGAAATTTACATCAGCCAGCGATGTATGGAGTTACGGAATAGTTATGTGGGAAGTAATGTCTTATGGAGAACGACCTTACTGGGACATGTCAAATCAAGATGTAGGTTATACTTTGTCCATTTGTAGATTAAAAAAATGAAACTATACATCTAACACATCTATAATGAATACACTTACGCTTGACTATACATGTACACAGTAGTTTTTCAATAATAAGATCTATCAAAATAATGTTGAGTTCTCACAAAGTGAAAAATTATAGATGTTTCAGCTTTCTTCTAAATCTCTAAATCATTTTCCTGCTACGTTGATATTGCAGGTTTCTGCAATGAGCATAAAGTAATACTGGATTTCAAAAATAATAATATATACTTTTTATTTTATATTGCTTAGGCATACAAGGAATTAGGTATTTTTTTCAATTAAAAAAATAATAGTTCTGAGGTTCCTGACCTCAGAGTAATAATTAGGCAGTTGGAAAAAAAGTTGTGAAAAGCCCGAGTGGCAGTTAATGACCTACTTTGGCTTTTTTAAGTTGATTTGCTGATTTAACAATATCCTTATTGCATAAAATATGATCTAGAGCAACAGGTCATCAGTAATAAAACAAATGGTTGTTAATCTTGATTTCTGACAAAAGAATTTATTAATATAGAATATGCACAGGAAAAAACTATTCAGGTGAAAAAGATGTCAGAAATATTCTTATTTAACGTTCCTCAAGTCAGGAGCTTGAGGGTTTTTTCTTTTTCTTCTTTGATTGAATGATCGACATCAAAGTTCAAAAAAAGATAAAAGTGTAAATGATGAGTCAGTTTGGCACAGTGCAAAGTTGTTAATATTTGACAGGTCTCAGTGTCAAAGATTTCATGGACTGTCAAAATATGGGCAAACAAGTCCTTGGGGCAGAGAAAGAGAAATATTTACATTCCCTAGACACCCAGTAGAGTTTCATTTCTTTTGACACCTTCCTTATGTACTATATTCAAACATAAAATAAGTCTGACAGGAATATTAGAGGCCTCAAAGGCAAACCTTACCTTTCTTTCAAGGAACAATAGGGAAAAAAACTTTTAAGTGTGTGTGGGGGGGAAATTCTATTATCTTCATGATTCTTTTTAGATTTTGAACAGCATTTCCTGTCTATTGAAAACAGCAAGTTGAAACAAGTTGAAAAACAAGCACATGAATTACTTTTTTCATAAAATAGCTAATTGCAACTCCTTGCTCTTTCATTTGTTTTTAGCATTTTACATTATAATCTTAACTGCTACATGGATGTTTCAATTACTTGGTAAAATAATTTAAAATATTCTTATATGCTATGATATGGAAGTGTGTCCTGAAATATATCTTCCAGAATGTACATATCCTGAAACCAATTCCATGGACAAATTTATGAGGCAGAAATTTACAATCATGATTAGTTATTAGTTATTAGTTATTAGTTATTTACAATTGTGATTATTTATTCTCCTCTGCAATGATCAAAGGGAGTAATTAGCTGGAAGCAAAAATGCTACATGTGTCTCTTCTAATTTTGCGTACGAACTAAGGCAGTCATTTATCTCTTAAGTGCATCATTTTGCTAACTATAAATGTGAGTATAGTCATGGATTAGATAAGGTCTTCTAAAAAATATGTCTTTCTCTTTTTGCAGCTTAGGATGGCATTTCTTTAATCCCTCTCCTTTTAAATTGCTCTTTTTCCTTTATATTGCTGTAGATGAAGGATATAAAATTACATTGCAACAGTCATCTCTCTTTAAGCAAAATTCCTCTTGTAGCAAATACATGGGCTGGGTCATGCCAAAAGAGCACTCATCCCACAAGCTCTCTGAAAGAGGTGGACTCACACAGCGCTTCTGAATAAGCATCCAGTTGCTTAAGCCTTGCTGATAACAGGAACGTTCAAACTGCTGCACTTAACCCTATTGCTCTTTCAAAGTTCTTGTATTTACTAGTTCTACCTCTCATTTGATTACTGACCCTAATGCTGAGGTGGTTTAGTTTTCAGAAAAGAGTAAGAGCGTGGCCTCACAGTTTTTTTTTTTTTTTTTTTCTGCTCTTGGATTAATGTTTATTGTTGTTATTATTATTTCTTATTATTTTTATTATTACATATCCAGAAGCAAACATTACACTGTCCACTTATATTGTCCGCTTATAGATATGAGAAGTTAACTTCTTTTATATTTCCAAATTTCATCCTTCATATTTATTTTGTTCAGAATATACAGCATAGACATTGATTAATTACCTTGATACCTACAGTTCTTCAGATTTCTTTCTAGAACATAAAGAACATAAAAAAAGTTCATGATCTTCTCATTTCTATTTTCACTATCCATTGTACTTTTGAGTATAGCCTGATCTAGTTGGTTTATAAGTTCTAAGCCCCTTGAATAGTTTGGTGATGTATTGCTGTTGGTGATGTCTAAAATGCTTTAATTTTCCATTGTCTGTCTTTAGGATACTGACTTGTAAAACAAGCACTTCATTTGTAATGGATCAGATGTAATGTGCAATGATGGGCATAATACTGTGGGTTTTTTTAGGTTAACTTCCATCAGAAATTTCTGGATCTATTTTCCAAAACAGGAGCAGTAGCATATTTTTCACTTTTATGCACTGCTGCTCTAAATCATGTTTTTTTGTTTTCTTTTTCCCATCTCTTAATACTAGTTTAAAAGATTTTACTTTTAATGTTCAGTGTTTTAATGTTTAGTATTTTTTACTGTGAGGGTGCCAGTGCCCTGGACCAGGCTGCCCGGAGGGGTTGTGGAGTCTCCTTCTGTGGATGTCTTCCAAACCCACCAGGATGCCACCATGTGCTACATGCTCTGGATGTCCCTGCTTGGGGACTGCAGGAGATTGGACTAGATGATCTCTAGCGGTCCCTTCCTTCCAACCTCAACTATTCTGTGATTCTGTGATTCTCTCATACAAAAGGTTTTTCTTCCAAATTCACTGTTCTCCTCTAGCCACCATCTCTCTGCACTCCATCTGAGGCACAACTTCGCTATCTCTAAAAGGTCACCACGCTCTTTCTTCAAAGTGTTGACATTAGTGCAGGACTAGAGTTTTTTCTCCATTGTTTTTGTGTGGTAGAAAAGCAGTGTAATTCTAAATGTACAGATAGAAAACTGAGGCCCAGAATGATGAGACAACTTTCTGAGGTCAGGCTTATATTCTGTGACAGAAACCTGGAATATATGCCCTGTCAATGGGATATGCTTCCTTGTTGTTGTTGTTGTTGTTGGGTTTTTAATTTTTTTTTTAACAAAACTATTTTTGCAGAAGGTTTTCATAGAATCATGGATTTCTTCAACTAGCTTTTTGAAGGTCGTTTTGTATTCTTTGCCAGTTCTCTTCACTTTGCAGTTCACTGCTTTTGCACTTTTGTCACACAGCCTATGGAATATTTTATATCTGAAGTCATTATTTTCACTAAACCCTGGATATTCACCAACTTTTTTTTTAAATCACACCAGATCTATTTCCTAGGGCTAAGCCCAGAACAGCTTCTGATCTTGCTTTCTCTATAGACCAAGAGAGAAAACAATCCTATATGCACCTTCAGGAGCAAGCACCCTTCCTTAGCAATTCTAATATTGTTGTGTCAGTCAATGTCAGTATACTTGAAATCCCCCATGAACAGTGTTTTAGGCCTTTTTTTCACAGGCTTTTCTTATCTGCATTGGTTCATGATGTGCTTTTTTATCCTGCCCTCCAGGTTTACAGTGGTTTCCTGTGATTTTACAAACATTTGCCATTTCTGTTTTTCACTTAAATCCAAATGGATATGGGCTAAGGAAGTCCACGACTGAATGTAATTCTTGGTTCAGACATTTATGCTCTCCTTTGATCATATCGTCACCTTGCAGCATCTCTTATTAAATCTAACCTTCTGTTTAGATGATATATTAAAATACCATTCAGCCAGGCCTTCCTCACTAACAAAACAAGTTTGTGCTATGTTATCGCTAATGTAACATGGCTAGACATAAAATTAATTTTTTTTTCTAACAATTTCTGTCTACTAACCATTTTTCTGGCATCATTTTGTAATATCTTCAGGCTTTTTGGATTTTATATGTGCATTCATAGATCCCTATCCACTTACAAATCAGTTACTTCTACCACACACTCTCTCATAAAAGCCTTGGGGCAAGTAATAACGCTTTCTGAAATAACTCCATTTATCAATCTATCTGTTGCACCCTTGGTGAATTTTCATTGTTGCTCCCTGCTGTTCATTTCACTAGGTAACATAGCTACGTTATGAACATATAGCACAATATGCTTAATACGCCCAAAGATAAAATCAGGGGTGCTATTGGAAAACATGAAGGCTACTGTCAAAACAACAAACTCACATTTTTGCAATACTTTTATAGCAAATTTCAGTGTATTGCATTTCTTGAACTGTTTAGTTAAATGTTAAACTTAAATGTTGCTTGCTTGATGAAAAATGATTAATTATGTTGGCTATTAGGTCATAAAAGCAATCGAAGAAGGCTATCGTTTGCCAGCACCCATGGATTGCCCAGCAGGACTACACCAGCTGATGCTGGATTGTTGGCAGAAGGAACGTGGTGAAAGGCCAAAGTTTGAGCAGATAGTTGGTATTCTGGACAAAATGATTAGGAACCCAAACAGCTTGAAAACTCCACTGGGAACATGTAGCAGGTAAGAAAAGCTTTCGTAAGTGTTTTGATGATGGTGAGCGTGGCTTGGTTCTGGGTGGTTTGCTTGGTTGTTGATTCTGGTTCATACTTTTCCATGTGTCTTCCTCAGTTCTTCCTTCCTTCTATTTCCTGTTCTCCCCTTCCTTCATTCACCTTTTTTTTTGGTAGCACACTGTACAAAACCAAAAAGGACTTTGGAAAAAATAAACAAAATAAAGGAAGCAAATAGCACGGACCTAGCATGCTTCTTGACAAACCACTGCCTGCTTTTTACTCCGTACTCTCACCACCAGCAGTCTTTGCTTTCTTGCTTCTTGAAATTATAGAGGCTGGAGGGCATCGATTATCATCTATTTTAGTTTTGTATGGTGCATTCCTTGCCCTAGGAATTGCTGAGTAGAAGCAGTAGTTAATATTACTCATGCCAGGCCAATGTACTTTTACATTGCTACACTGTGAACTCTAGATTTTTACCTTTAGTATTCTGGCTTTCATTTCGTCCCGTGATTGCATCTCACTGTATTTCATGGTGTAGCATTTAATGAATTCTTCATACAATTTAGGTGAGTTATTTAATCAAGGTAATCTTCTGATCCACTAGCTAGATCCAATAGCACTAGGGAATCAATTGGCTTGTGTTCTGCTTCCAGTTCTGCTCCTAACTGATTTGCTATGTGACCTTAAAGAACTTACTTTGTGTCTCTACCCATTCTTTGTCCTTGTTTTGTCTAATCCAGTTGAACAATGAAAATAGCTACAATTATATTCTCTAAAGTGCTTGAAAAAATATATTTTTTCAAGAATAGAATTTTAGAGAGAGAATTTTAGAGAGAACGTAGAATTTTTAAATCCTACATCTTCAGTTGACAGGTAATAAGACTGATTTTCTGTTAGTAACAATAGTCAAGTAGGTTGATATTGCTTACTGTGACCTTTCATCTTTTAAATGAATCAGCTTAGGAAATACATATTGTGAGCTACAGAGTAGTCAAAGCTATTCACAGAATACATTGAATTGTGTATAAAGGCCTATTGCTTACTTCCCCAAAGTATTTTAATACTCCAGACTTATTTGATTCTGACCTTGCTAAATACTCCCTGATGTTATGAGCTCTTTGGAAACAACTTATTTTCCTTTTTCCTTCTCTGTAGACCAATTAGCCCTCTTCTGGACCAGAACACTCCCGATTTTACCACTTTCTGCTCCGTAGGCGAATGGTTACAAGCTATTAAGATGGAAAGATATAAGGATAATTTCACAGCAGCAGGCTACAGCTCTCTTGAATCAGTTGCCAGGATGACTATTGAGTAAGTTAGTACTGGGCATGTTTAACTTGCATATAGGGAACTTCTAGATAAAACACAATGTTCAACTTTAAAACTTTATCCTGAGTACAAGAATTGTACTTAGGGTTAAACCAGCTGTTTTAGCAACTGGTTTAGCTGATATTATCCCATAAAAAGACCAATACTCTGCCGCCTATATGTGGTGTTCCTTTTCCTTGCTTTTGGTCAATTGAATTTATATCACGGGGCTAAAATTTGAGAGAGAATGTGGCCCATTTAAAAGTCTGTGTGTATAGGAAAATAACTACTTTGCCTCCACTACCTATTTGTTGCCCTTTACAGACATGTACTAGGAAGATGTGGAAGATTTCTTCTAATTGGTTGGGTTGGCTATTTCATGCAAAAAATTACATCAGGATAAAAGTCTATAGGGACAAAGCAATTTCCTGAAAGCAAGCATGGCCTGTATTAGTACTGCCATCTTAACCGGGTCTTCTTGACACTGTGTTCTTATCCTGATAGCCGCCAAACACTTGTAATTCTTCCTACAGAGCAGTATTTTTTAAATTCTGAAACAATCTGAAACAAGTTTGCAATCCCACTCTTATCCATGGGATATCTGGGCTCTCTGCCTCAAGCTGGGGAACCCTCACCATATTCTCACAACTTTTGATAGGTTGGTAGAACTACCACTAATAGTAGTGGAACTTAGACAGACGGTCCTCTTTCAGTTGCATGACAGATATGGGTTAATATGCAAAGAGTTTCTCTAGGCATCTCCTTAGGAAGCAGACTCTGATCTTCCAAATCTTATACATAATTTTATTCTGAAAGCCTCCCAAGTATTTTACAGGAGAGATTTCGCTTTTGTGGGGTATCCTAAAAAACTAAAGTAAAAGATTATCATAGTGTGAAACATACTCAAATATGTAGATATATGCCGTGTAATGATGTAGCACATGCCTTGTATTTATACTCCTCACTGAGAAGTTCAAAGGGTTTGTATGGAGTTCACAGTGCTGAGATTCCAGTATCAATGTCAGAAACCTGTAGCCCAAACCCTATGTAGCTTTAAGTGAAAGTTGAAAACCATACAAAAGCAATCTAAGTTGTAAAATTAACAATGTACGCATTTATCTTCCCCAGGGATGTGATGAGTTTAGGGATCACGTTGGTTGGTCATCAAAAGAAAATCATGAGCAGCATTCAGACTATGAGAGCACAAATGCTACATTTACACGGCACTGGCATCCAAGTGTGATAGACATTTCTCCCTTATGAGGGAGGTGACAGACTGAGAGAACAGCACTGGCCTTCAGTATATATGAAGTGCTGCTAGAAGACACTTGATTTCCTGGGTCCTTCCTGCAGTGAATAGAAGAGCTACAAGAAGCACCTACAGACTTGAACTCCTAAGTGCCACCAGAATTTATGAAAAGGGAATTAGGATCCACCAGTGGTGGCAAGGAAAACAGCAGTGACAATAAACAAAGTACTACCTGAATAAACATACAAACACCTTGAGCTCTCTAACCTCCTTTTTACCTAATAGACTTTTTAAATGTACATAAAAATTTAAAAAAGAATATATTTGTCAGATAAAATCATGATATTATTGTTGAATTCAACAAAATATTTTCCTTAAATCTGTGATTTCTGAACCTTTTTTTAATCATTTGTGTTTATTCTTCATAAAGACTTTCTTTTAGTATGATGTTTATATCTTTGGACCTTTTTAGTGCTAATTCTATGACACATTACTACACTGGGTACCTCTGAAGGATTATTTGAGTTCCTAGAAATTTAAAAAGCATGACCAAGCAATGTATATCTGTCCAAACATTGGTATCCTTTTGTGCCATTTTATTTTGTTAAATCAGTACCGTAATGACATGGCTAGCTAATTGGCAGGGAGTTAGGAAAATACAAGTTGCCAAGAGCTCTGATATTTTATAAAGAATTTTTTTAAGGTTATACATATACTATCTTTTAAAAGAAAATAAAAGAAAAAAAAATTAAAAAAAGAAAAAGCAATAATGACCCCTAAGTAGTTCTAGGCACTTTTAGCAAATTGTTTGCAAGATGATTTTAATGGACTAGAGTTTAAATGAGGTATATTCTAAGAAGCTGTAAATGTGCTGAGGTTCTGCGTTGGACAAGTGATTGTAGGAGTGTCTCAGACCATGGATGCAGTTCTTCCATGTTACCGAACCATTTAATCTGAGCACATCACATTGTTTTCAATACTCTGCATTAGCAAATCCGAAAGAAATAGCTGGCATATATTTTATATGAGTTTAAATTGAATGCAGTCCAGCTGTGAGACTAAGGATGTAGATTTTATAATAGAACTGAAGAGCATGAGGCAAGGGGCAGTTCAAAATTTTCACGTTTTTTACTAGCTTTTGCTGCTCTGAGCAAACGTGTGTTCATGCTTGCACACAAACTCAAAGAGTCATCAGGAACACCGATGCAAGCAAGCTCAATGAAGTACCTTTTTACGCTATTTTTATTTATATATGCATTTTGCTTAATTAATGTATTTAATGACCATAAGCAATAACGAAGTGAGTCTTTACAGATATTGCAGGAATGTATATGAACCAGACAGAAATGCTTTAAAAAAATCTGAAAATTTTGAACTACCCCAGCAAAGAAATGCTGTACTTCCAAAGAGAATTGGGCTGCTTCTATTGATTTTCATAGAGAAAGATCCCAGGGATCAGTCATAAATTGGTCTTGTTTGATAATGTGGGCGTCCACACACAAAAAAAAAAAAAAAAAAAAAAAAAAAAAAAAAAAAAAAAGGAAAAAAAAAAAGAAAACCCTGTAAATGTTTCTTTGTAAAACTTGTAAATTTTATTTATACTGTCTTGTTTTGTACACACATTTATGTGTAGTGAGCTCTGAATACATTGAAAATGCACTATATTTTTCTATTTTACTTGCAGAGCCTCACAAACGAACATGTATATTCAGTGCTACATAATGTGTTTTCCCACATTTAGGACCAAAGATAGTATTCAAAAACTTAAAGGCATCATTTTTTTCCCTTCTTTTTTTTTTCTCCTCTCTTTAGATCATTGTACAGTGTTATGTTTGACATTTTATTTATTTGTTTCATTAGAAAAATGAGTTTGGTTATACTAATTTTTGTCCCCCTGCCTTTGTTGAAGAAAATCTGTAAAAAGCTTTTAACTAGCATAATCCCATTACATAGACACTTCCATTTGTAATCTTTGTAATAGACTGTAAATATATTTTTGGAACTATAATGCAATGTGCATAAGGGTTATTTTTCAGTGTCCATATATGATTGTTTATACAATTCACAGCACTTTACAGTCATGCTGAGAAGCCTAATTTATTGCCTGGATTTGGGCAGAGTAAGAGAAAAGGTGAATATTCTTATTTCATATTAGATTTTCATTCCATAGAAATGGAATTTTCATGTTTGCAGCTCAAGATGATTTTTTTTAACTATTAGAATTTATTTTCTAAAAGTGGTGTAGAAGCAAAATGCAGAGGATCCTGCATGCCCAGTTTTGAAATTCGCGCACACCAGTGCTCTGCACTAAAAGTAGCCATTGGGACATCATTAACTCCTAAGCATCTGTTTTGCATTATAGCATATGCTAAGTGCCTCACTACTGGGGTCACCATGACCAACATTTGCACAGGGTGCTTGTCAGTTTTGCGGCTTCTTTAGGCACCTAACTATGAATCTGGGCGTCTACCTTCAGACACCAGCTTTCTTACAAATCTTGGGTAATATTTTGAAGGGCTTGGTGGTTAAAGGTGCAATGCAGCAATGCTGGTATTGCTGAGAACCCACAAACTCAAAATATATGAGGCCGTGCTTCACTTTTAGGATTTAATCAATATTCTGAAGCACAGAGGCCTCAAAGCATTTGTGGTGTCTTATCTTTAGGCTCACACATGAACAAATGAGGGCCATAATGTTATTTCTTTCTTTTTTTTTTTTTTTTTAATTTGATTTAAGCCATCCTCTTTGAATAGTAAATGTATTTTATCATTCATCTCTCTATACCTTGACTGCCTTAATGTTGCCACAAATATGTACACATTTGAAAATGGTAGAGTAGACCGGGAAAGCACAATCAATCTCAATATTCCTGTCATATCTATCTATTCAGAATATTATTGCAATTCAGAGCACATGCATGTAAAAGGACTTACAAGTGTTGGAGCAGCAACATATTGATGTTGGTTGCAGTTTTCCAAGTTCCAGGGACATGTAGATGAGTGTAAGAAAAATAACAGTTCCAGAGAAAGTTGTTTTTATGGGAGGAGCTGAAGAAAAGGTGGAGCTGGAAGGAGAATTATAGGCTGATTGCTGGAATGAGGAAGTGGGCTCAGTTCTGACTTAATTCTGTTGAATCTGGGAACTGTACCAAATTTCAGAATGCAATGAGGTTGGTCTTTCTAGATTTTGTCCATCTGCAAGCGTGTAAAAGAGAGATGTCTAAGACAAGCAGAATGAATCACCCTCTGGGAATGCTTTTATTCCTTGCCTGTAGAGGGATCCTGAATGATTAGCTTAAATTAGACATCTAATAGATAGTTAGGTGAGATGATTACTACCCTGAATGTCCTTGGCTGGTACAGTTTCCCTCTCAAGCTAAGTGTCATAGAAAGGCAGCTTTTCCACTATTAGTATATCCCAGACTGTATTTAAACAGAGCTTTATTGCAGAGAGATCTTTTTTTCTTCAGAGATTTGTAACAGATCATCTAAATGCTCTTTGTTCATGACTATAAATTCTGGATAAATTTTGTGATTGTTCTGAGGAAGACTTGCCTAGTAAATTACAATTATTTAATATTTCAAATAATCTGAAATATTTGTTAAAATACTGTTTCAAGACTGAGGTTATGTGATCAGATATGATAGTTACTGTTTGCAAAACCATGTTTATCTAAAACCTTGTCATCTAGAAATCTCCAGGAGGCAAAGATGCTTAAATGTATCTAAAACTGAATGTTGGCCTTAATTTCTCCATCACTGAGCTGTGTGTGTATTATTCTCCACTTCAAAATGAGATTTTGATATATGTCTATAGTCATCTGGCATCTATTGAGGGAGTTTGAAGGAAATATTTAAAATTAAATTTGGTTTTCTCCATTGATAGTAATACATGGTAAATAGTTTCCACTGTTTTGAATGTTAAAAGAACTGTTGCTTTTGTGTGGGGGATGAAGGGATTTGGTTTGGTTGTTGACATTTTTTTTTTCCTTTCTTGGTTAGTAGTGGAAATAAAAAAAAAATAATTTGTCATTAACTTTCTAAATAATTCATAAATAATAATGTTGAGAATAATTTAAATTCTGCATCTTTCAGTTACTAACTAAAAGAAGATGACTTTGTCACTCCAGTCATAATTGTCAGTGATGCAGAGACTCACTGCTACTGTGGCCGGTTCGGCTGTCATTCTTCTACTAAGTAATTGAATGAGGCAGCCCACTGCTGCAAGTGAGGAGTGAAGGGCAGCTGAGCCTAAGAAGGGTTATTTCACCTTTTAAAAATATATGCAACACTTGACAGCTAATGCTTACTTCTTTAAAGCCTGTTACACAGGTGATATGCTCGTGACTTGTTCTGTGCTTTTTTCTGTGTTTTTGAACAAATGTCATTTGGGATGCTATGGAAGAGACTAGTTCCCCAAGAAAATGCCAATCCCAGTTTAAGAAAAGTACCATATGAATTATTACCTAACAAGGCTTTTCAGGCTGTTGAAGCTATGGTTTGCTGAGCAATAGAATTTATGTAAGTTTAGGATCTGTTAGATTCATGCTTTTAAGAAATCAGCAAATATGTAAGAGCCTATAACCCCCAATGAAATAGGAGATTTCCCCTCCACACTTACTTGGAGTGCACTTACAGATAGATGATAGCTTTTAGATTCAAAAGACTGTTCAAAAGGCTTATCTTCAAACTAATTTCTAGTAAAACAGAAAATCTGGGCAGCAGGTGATACTTTCTCCTCTATTCCCTTAAAAGCTGCTTACTTTTAAACACTAATCTTTATTATTTGCGTAGTGCAGCCTTTTATTTACTTAGGAATAGTCCTCTAATTATATTTCCTGTAGAAGCGACTTTGGGGAAGAGTGGGGAAACAAAAAAGATTGGGGGATGTAGAGGCAAAATAAGGAAGAAAAACCCAAGCTAACAAATGAGATGTGAAACTTGAAGTTCACCTTTAATCATAGAAGATTAAACCATAGGCATAAAATCTGCAATATTCCTACAACTGAGTAGAGGCAGAAGGAGAGCTACATTTGCTGGGAGATTCCCTCCCTGTGCTGCCTAGATTAGGTTTTGTAAGGTTTTTAAATTAGGATAATAAGCACACACGTATTTAGTGCTAAGCCTATTGGGACAGGCTGAGGAACAAACTAGTGAACCTATAACCCCCAATGAAACTGTTAGTGCACCTTCTGATAAAGATCGTATGGTTTGAAAGGGTTTGGGTGCTGTAGAGACTTTGTAGATTATGCACGGATTATATATAAGTGAGATTGTAAAAGATAAAAAAAAAATGTATCTGGTGAAAAGATAGGGATTGGAAAAAGAGAGATGTGGAGAAACCTAAAATGTGTGAGACTAAATTGTTGGGCTCCAGCAAACATTCCAAAAACTGACGTTGAAGTTAATAAACACGGAGTTTTTTTTAAGTAAAGAGATATTGCTAATAAAATACACCTAATAAACTAATGCAGAGTGGTTTCAGTGCTCTGATCTTTCCTCAGGCCAGATTGGAATTTGTCAAAGAGACTAAATTGAGACAGATGGGAAAGCAACTGGTAATTCACAGCTCATTCAAGCAGACTTGAAAGAGACATGAAAGGAAATTTTTACATTAAAAGCATGAAAATAAAACAAGAACTATGATAATATTTACTCTCAGAACATTCTCAAATAGTTTTCTTTAAATCTAGGGTAATGATATCAGATTTTAGCACTGATACTATACTTATCGGGTAAAATTAATTCTAATTGGAATGACCAAAAAAGAATCACAAGTCAAAAAATAGTTGATGTCTTGATAAATTGTGAAAAAGATGTGATACAACCATATGAAATTCATATAGCCAGCCAAATGAATCTTGGATCAAACAAGACATAATTCCTAGTGCCAGAAGAGCTACAACAGGAACAGGAAATCTTGATCTGTGGGCTAAAGCTGCTGTATTTAATTGAACCAAATAACCAATTGTGGAACAGTGTTGCTAGTAATAATTAATGCTAATAATGAAAAACTACAGCTTAGAGTTCATCTAATAAATCATAATATAGTTAGCACTGGAAAACACACTTAATGCTTGATCCATAGTTACAACCAAAGACTAACCTATTCTAATGATGTTAAAGAGTTCCAAAACCCCATACTATTTCAGGTCAGTTATAAATGTAGAAATGATAGCCCCAAGTGCGTAAATAAAGCCTTCCTCTTTTCTGCTGGAAAAGGGAAGGAATCAAAATGTTACTAAAGCTC